TCCCTCTCTCTCTCTCTCTCTCTCTTCTCTTCTCTCCGCCCGGTTCGGGAACGCCATGCGAAACCGTAGGGTCGGTACCGGCGAAAAAATTAATTGGGCGGATGTAATCCGACGATTCCCACGATTCGACTATGGTACCGGGCGGCAATCTCTCTCTCGCACTGTCTATCTTCCTCTGTGCAGGTGGCGGACGATGTACGTACGAATCGGTGCGATCCGGTCCATTATCGTCGACGGTCGCTCGCGCAAATCGCCTCTCGTACCTCGGGCCTTTTTAAGGCCGATCAAGCCGGACCCGGTCGCTGATTGTCCGCGCGTCGTTTTTGATCGACAAACGGAAATCCGCGCTGTCGGCGGCGTACGGTCGGCGGTTCGACATTTGCATCGCTGTCCCACGATACCCACCTCTCGATCCGGGACAAATTACGGGACGGGTCGTACGACACGGATATTCGCGGATGGCCTACCGATATCTAAACGTCCCTCGATATCGACGGACGTGGCTGGAACCTGATTTCTGCTTCAACTTATATACGCAATGCGTTCGCGCTCTCACAGTCGTGCAATGATAACTGGACAAAATGGGAATTATTGCAATCCATTAGACGCTAAATCTCTGCGATCTTTCTGCGAAATATTAAAAAAATTACGAAAATTGCCCGGTGAAAACACAAAGTATTAAATATAATTTAATATATATGATAAAATTTCCTCTGTGTGTGTGTGTGTGTGTGTGTGTGTGTGTGTGTGTGTGGTGTAAATTGCGGCTAAAAGTGGGATAGCGTTGAAGTTACAAATTAAAGTACACATCGTGCAATCCGCCGGAGGTATTGCAGCGTCTTTCGCGTCTAATCATTCCTTCACCGTCCATCGTCCGTTACGACGAGATCGCCGTAACAGTAATTCCTAGAAAATGATTATGGGCGAGTGCGAGTCGGCGCGTAGGTGGCCGCGGAGGATTTTCCGAGAGGGTGAAGGCACCTCTCTCGATGCAGCGCGCGCGGTCGTAA